GAGAGAGAGAGAGAGAGAGAGAGAGAGAGAGAGAGAGAGAGAGAGAGAGAGAGAGAGCAGGAGGCCACTAGTTGACAAAGATCCTGAGGAAGGGCAAAGATGGAATTTAAAGGAGACTGTACAGAAGCTGCTGAACCCTTAGTTCCTTCTAAAGTGAATTGCAAGAAATAGAGATAGGAAATGGCCACATTTCCTATTTTCAGAGAGGGCGTATATTGATCTCTCAACCCAAGTTGTCTTAGTACAGGCAACGGGCCATGTTCCAAATGTGCTATAGCTACTGTGCTGAACATGCTGAGGGTAACGCTGAGGCTTGTCCATACATAGCTCAGGTATAGCCTGGTCCGGCCTGACTCTAGCAGAACAGGCGCCCATCACGGGTTCGATTTACGAGGATGCTGATGACCATTGCCGACGGGAATTCCTGCTTGGTGAAAGAACCGCAAAGCTTGAAGTGCGACTTCTCTCTCCACTATGGAATCTGCCACAATGTCAGCCCCCGTGCAAGCAGAATCCGATCGGCTGGGAAGTAGTCCTGCATCGACGGCTGATATTGGCAGTGGAATTGGGTATCCTGTGTCTGAGGATGTCTTCTGCGTCTTGACGGTCTCGGACGTCTTTGACGACTGTGGAATTGCAGTCGTTGACTCTAGGTTGGAAGCCATTACTGCATCACCCGGTCCCCATTGGCTTGCTGCTGCGAAGCCTGTGAGTTGTGACCTCTTCTCCCAGTGCCTCGGGAAACTCGACTCCCGCCTCTCCGTCGACAGTAGATCGTTCGGCTTGTTCTGCGGTACAGTCTTTACATCAGTCGAAGGCTGATCTCCAGCGCGGGCATCGTTTGACATTTCTGACATCGACGACGCAAGGTTCTGACCGTTGACAGCTGAATCTGGTGAGGCGTGCTTAAGAACTCGCCTTGTGAGCGGCCCTGGATTCATAAGACTGACGCCAGACTGGACTTCGTGTCGGATGGCCTCCACTTGTGCTAGCGTTTCCCGAAGTTCTCTGTGCAGCTCATTTACCTGTGTCCTCTCCGCAAAGAGCTCCATTCGGTGTCGTGCGCTCGTTAGGAATCCGACGGCTTTCCCGGCCATCCTCCCGGCTGCTCGGCCAATTACAGGAATGTCCTTCGGCCCAAAGACTGTGGCGCCGACAAGAATTATGGCCGCCCATTGCTCAATGGAGATACCGAACAGCATTTGTGGACTTCGGTGGTCGATTATATATCACCTATGCAGCGAGGTTGTCGCACCGCAAAAGCAGTTACCGTGCCCGCAATGTGGCGAACCGCAACCTTGCTGCAGCACAATCAACATAAACGACCAAACACCACTGCTTCGTTTGGTCTGTTTCCATGATGTTGTCCTCCGGTTCTTTCATTCGGATTTCCTGATCAATGTCCTAGGAGTGGGCAAACCTGCCCGGCAAGGTTCAGTGTCAGTTAAGGACATCTTCCATCCTCTACTTTTCATCGAGGAAGCTGACAGAGACGCAAGTATGTCCATTTTTTTTTTTTTTCAGTGTTGCAAACCCCGACGGTCTGCGCCCCTTGACTGGTCGGATGCCAACCAGCCGACTGGTCAGCTGGTCAGCACCTACCGGTCGGGTGTCATCGGCACCTCGCTAAAAATTAAAAAACTAGGCTACCAGAGTGGTCCGGGACCACTTGCCCGGCCGGGCCAAAAAAAAAAAAAAAAAAGCTTAAGTTTGGTAAGGAATTTTGATATGACCCTGAGACAAAAGTTGTGCAGTTTATTCTTCTGCATAATATAGTT